CCTTCCTGCAAGGCAACACCGCGAACTACATCGACGAAATGTACATGGCATGGAAGCAAGACCCGTCGTCTGTCCATGTCTCGTGGCAAGCCTACTTTCACAACATGGAAGAAGGAACGATGCCCGTGTCGAAAGCATTCCAGCCTCCTCCGGGCCTCATTTCCCAAGCTGAAGGGGCAGCCAGCCTCGCTCCCAGCGCAGTGGCTGGTACTGCAGGCGAAGACGTCACAAATCACTTGAAAGTCCAGCTGCTTGTCAGAGCATATCAGTCAACCGGACATCACAAAGCCAAGACCGATCCTCTTGGTATTCGTGGCGAGGCAGAAGCATTTGGATACCGCAGACCAAAAGAGTTGGAGCTGGATCACTATGGCTTTACGGAGGCCGACCTGGACCAAGAATTTGTCCTTGGACCAGGTATTCTCCCCAGATTTGCCACCGAGTCGCGGAAGAAGATGAAACTGCGTGATATCATCGCTGCCTGCGAGAAGATCTATTGCGGGTCATATGGTGTTGAGTACATCCACATTCCGGATCGAGAGCAATGTGACTGGATCAGAAACCGGATTGAAGTGCCAACCCCGTACAAATACTCTGTGGATGACAAGCGCCGCATCCTCGACAGACTGATCTGGAGCTCCAGCTTTGAAGCTTTCTTGGCCACGAAGTACCCCAACGACAAGCGCTTTGGATTGGAAGGTTGTGAGACTCTCGTTCCGGGCATGAAAGCCATGATTGACAGGAGCGTGGACTATGGGATCAAGGACATTGTCATTGGGATGCCGCACAGAGGAAGACTGAACGTTCTGAGCAACGTCGTCCGCAAACCCAACGAGTCCATCTTTAGTGAATTTTCGGGCACCACTGAGGCAAGTGACGAAGGCTCCGGTGATGTCAAGTACCATCTCGGCATGAACTTTGAACGACCGACACCGTCTGGCAAGCGCGTCCAACTGTCCCTGGTTGCCAATCCTTCTCACTTGGAAGCCGAGGATCCCGTTGTGCTGGGGAAAACCAGGGCCATTCAACACTACAACGATGACGAGAAGAAACACCAAACAGCGATGGGTGTCTTGCTTCACGGTGACGCTGCCTTTGCGGCTCAAGGGGTGGTCTACGAAACGCTGGGTTTCCATGCTCTCCCTGCGTACTCCACAGGTGGTACGATCCACATCATCGTTAACAACCAGATTGGGTTCACCACCGATCCCAGATTCGCCCGATCGACTCCTTATTGCTCGGATATCGCCAAGGCAATCGACGCCCCTGTTTTCCATGTCAATGGCGACGATGTAGAAGCTGTCAACTTCGTCTGCCAACTGGCTGCTGACTGGAGAGCTGATTTCAAGAAAGACTGCGTCATCGACATTGTCTGCTATCGGAAGCAGGGTCACAACGAGACGGATCAACCGGCCTTCACTCAACCGCTCATGTACAAGCGAATAGAGTCCATCAAGCCTCAAATCGACAAGTATGTTGACAAGCTGATCGAGGAGGGCACCTTCACCAAAGAAGACATCGACGAGCACAAGAAATGGGTTTGGGGAATGCTCAATGACAGCTTCGATCGAAGCAAAGACTATCAACCTACAGGCAAGGAATGGCTGACCTCCGCCTGGAATGGCTTCAAATCGCCCAAGGAGCTCGCCACTGAAGTCCTTCCCCATCCTCCGACTGGAGTTCCATCTGATATGCTGAAAGAGATCGGGGCAAAGATTGCTGATGCCCCGGAGGGTTTCACCGTCCATCGTAACCTCAAACGTATTCTCGCTGGTCGCAAGAAGGCTGTTGAGGAGGGCAAGGGCATTGATTGGTCGACGGCCGAGGCTCTCGCCTTCGGCACCCTTTGTCTTGAAGGTCACCATGTTCGTGTGTCCGGCCAGGATGTTGAGCGAGGCACCTTCTCCCAGCGTCATGCTGTTTTGCACGACCAGGAGACCGAAGCGACCTGGACACCTCTCAATAATCTTGCCAAAGAGCAAGGAGCCTTTACCATCTCCAACTCGTCCTTGAGTGAGTACGGAGTTTTGGGTTTTGAATATGGCTACTCTCTCTCGTCGCCCAATGCGCTTGTCATGTGGGAAGCGCAATTTGGAGATTTTGCCAACAACGCCCAATGTATTATTGATCAATTCATCGCATCGGGAGAGGTCAAGTGGCTGCAAAGGTCTGGCCTCGTCTGCTCTCTCCCCCATGGTTATGATGGACAGGGACCTGAGGTAAGTTTTTTTCACAACCCTGTCTGGACTGATGAACAAGACTAACTTCTTGGTCCTACAGCACAGCAGTGGCCGCATGGAACGGTATCTGCAACTCTGCAATGAGGAGCCTCGAGTATTCCCGTCACCAGACAAGCTTGATCGACAGCACCAAGACTGCAACATGCAGGTGGCATACATGACGACGCCGTCCAACTACTTCCACATTCTCCGACGACAGATGAACAGGCAGTTCAGAAAACGTGAGTAAAAACACTATCCCTGGGAAAACGTGGTGCTTGACTGACATACTGTCTGCTACTAGCATTGATTGTGTTCTTCTCGAAATCGCTTCTTCGCCATCCTCTTGCCCGGTCCGACTTGGAAGACTTTACGGGCGATTCCTACTTCCAATGGATCATCCCAGATCCAGAGCACGGCAAGGGAATCGTTGAGGCAGACGAGATTGACCGCGTCGTCTTATGCACGGGTCAAGTGTATGCAGCTTTGCATAAGCACCGTGCGGACAAGGGCATCAAGAACGTTGCAATCACCCGCATCGAGCAGCTCAACCCCTTCCCATGGGCACTATTGAAAGAGAATCTCGACACTTATAAGAACGCCAAGACGATCGTTTGGTGTCAGGAGGAGCCTCTCAACGCTGGAGCATGGAGTTTTGTTCAACCACGGATTGAAACGCTACTGAATGAGACGGAGCACCACAACAGACGGCACGTCATGTACGCAGGCCGAGATCCTAGTGCCTCGGTCGCGACGGGTCTGAAAGCCACCCACATTAAGGAAGAGCAAGCGCTGCTCAATGACGCCTTCACGGTCACGCAGGATAAGCTGAAGGGTGAATGACTAGCCGACGGCGTGACGGGGGCGAAAGTGGTAGAGGGGTGATGATAATGATGAGATGTGAAAATCTGTCACAGAGGAGGAGGTTGTGACAGCATTGCTATAAGCGTGGTGGAGGTGATGGAGACTGGCATCAAGGGCTGTCGGCATTGTGTCTGTGGTGTGGTCCTCGTAGGACAGCATCCGGCAGCAATACCTAGCACCTGCCTGACTTTCTGATACCCACTGCCTTGCAAATATCAGTACAAAGTTACTGAGTCGGTATATGTAGGTGCTCTCTATGGCAAGAGCACTATTTTGCTTATCGTTGTTCGGCTACTATGTTGAGAATCAAAATGTCGTCAAATTGAATTATGATCGAATTGGATACCACGATGTCTCTTTTCAGTTCACTTGTCCGTGTACATAAGTCCGGCTTGGGCATCGACGCGAGGCTGGCCGAATCGCCCTTCCGCAACTTGCGGCTTCGACCAGGCACGACGAGGCTGGGAATTTCCCCTGACTTCCCGACCACCGTGACTCCCTCGTAAAAGTTCTCAGGTTCTCTGTTTGACGACAAGACTTGACGTGGACAATCATGCAGACTATTTTTTTCAGAGGGGGCAGAGAAGGGGATGAGATGAGATGAGAAACGCCAGAAAAGCCAGAAAAGCCAGACGGGACAGACGAAAACAGAAAAGACAGAGGTAATTAAGCGAGTTCCTCTCGGCCCCCCTAATTGGACAATAGACGGGTAGCTAGACGCCGAGTAGAGTAGAGTTGATCGGTTGAGTGATCGGTTGAGCTCTGGCAGACATTGGACATTGGGGCATTTGGGCACCAACCACGCGTGGGCTTTTGTTGTCTTTTGGTTTTTTTTTTTTTTTGTTCTCCTTTGTCTGTCTATTCTTTATTAGCTCGTACAGAAAGCCGTCCGGTCTAGGACAAAGCGGGAGGAGAGAGAGAGAGAGAGAGACAGAGACAGACAAGGCTGATCTATCAGGGAGAGAGGGGTTCAGTATCCGAGACAGAAATAATTGGTCGAAACCCCCTTTTTGTCGTCCTTCTCGTTGTTGTCTATGCATCAGGCATTAGGTATTGGCAATGCATATGAGAAATGCCGCGAAGCCGGTGGGGTAGTTCTGTTGAAGTGAAGGCTTCGTATATCTCTTTCTCTCTCTCTCTCTCTCTCTTTCCATCTCTCTCCCTGTGTTAGTGCTCAGTCACTGGCTCGCTTTGAGGAAAGTCAACTGTCTTGTCCATAACAAAGGAACAACCCCCATTAGCAACGAATGAGACTCACCTCCTGTACAGCAACTGAGACTCACAACGCGCCTGGTTCCGCTCCGCTCCTTTAACTGCCCTGCTTCGAACTGCCCCATGTAGATTGAATTGAACTGAATTGATTGTCCAAGGCAGTTCCAGTGTCTCAAAATCTTGCCTTGATGTCCTTTGTTTGCGGGGGGAACGCAGTCCTGCCCTGCCCCCTGGCCAAGGCTGCTGCTTTGTCGTCCAGCGAGACAGTATGCTCAGGCATTGTCGACAACTGTGCTTTGGGTGCAAGGCAAGGCGTCTCGATGCCACAGCCTCGCCGGGGTTGGATGCTGATGCTGAAGACCACGGCGAACCCTTAAGTAGTAGCGAAGTGTACCTGTTCTTCCATCTGCATTCTCAGAGTGCAACTCAACACAGCAACAAGATCGTCTTCAGAAGCCGTTACTTCATCCCTCTGCAAGCAAGCAAAGCAAAGCCAGCCAGCAATTCCGACACACTCTCAAAGGCCAAAACGGCAGAGACAAAGCAGCAGCAGCAGCTCGTTGTCCCCCTCAAACAGCATCAACCGTCGTCGGTAAGGGGCCCCCAGGTATCTTCCTATCACCAGGTACCTACCTGACCTTCTCCTTTCTTCCCCTTGCCGGTAAAGCCTTCGATACTTCTTCGACAGCGGTAGTGCTTCAACCCATGGACAAGCAACAGCGTGCTTCAGTGCGTTCCTCGATGAAGTACGGTCAGTTGTCTCCTTACTGTATAGTACCATATACAAATACCTATCTGACACCGTTAGCAGGATCGGTGGGGTCGAGACCAGGAGTCCACGAGCATAGGACAGACAACGAACCTCGTGTCTACTCCGAACTGCCATCCTTCCCTCATTTTGACCAACCGATCCCACCTGAAGCGTCTCTGGAAGAGCTCTGCAGCAAGTATCCGAACCACATTCGCGGGTCTTACCTTGACGCCTTCATCCAGTGGCATTGGTCGGCCACTGACATATACTCCTGCTTGACGTACAAGGCCATCGAGGAGTTCAAGTCGTTCGGCATCACGAAATCCAAGGCCTGGGCAAATCGAGCCAATTTCTTGACGAAGAGACTCGACGCCCGCCTGTCGAGCCTTTCTGCTGAAGAAGTCACCGCCTTGTGCACTGCACCAAAGATCCGACCGTGCATGATGGACGGCACTGAGAAATACGGCGCGTCGAAACTCCAGGGCAAGTTTCCCAATCCCACTGCTCCAGCGATTCGGAAATACCCTCACCGTCAAGCCAGAGACGACAGATCCCCTCGACAACTGGCATTGACAAGAACATTCAAGCACAACGGGAGAGAGCACCAGCTTTGGGATTCGGCCGAAGACCTGCATCGGTACAAAGAATGCATGGTGGGTTACTGGAGCCAGTCGCGAGTGCGTGCTGGTCAGATCATCGATGCCGACACCGTGTATAGTGCTAGCCAAGGTCTCCAACGCAAGCGACTCATTCTGCGCATGACAAACTGGCCATGCAACTCTGCGAGCGAGAGCTTCTTCAGCTTCCGGAATATTCGCAATTGCCCAGCCTTTGAAAGTGCAATCTTTGACCTGGTTGCGGCGCCCGTCATAAGTATGCTGGATTCTCCGAATGTGCAGGTCTCATCTCAGCCACTACGTACGGCTCGAGAGTCGGCAGTGTCTTATGTTCTGATGGTCCAGATCGCCAGATTGGCCAGATTGAATGACTTCGCGGCAGCGATACCGGCCGGAGCATTGACGGCTGGGCTGGTGGATGAAGTACTGTCATGGACCGCAGACCTTGACAGCGATGCCTCCAAGGCGGTGCAACCGGGCTTTGGCTCTGCACATCCGCAGTCAGAAGACGTCGCTGTCTCCCATCAAAGTAGCCTGGAGCCAGAGAGAACGCCAAATGCTAGCGACTCAGGTGCACTGTCCTCACACGGCTCGAAGCGAAAAAGACCAAACTCTCCAACCGCAGCGAGACCTGCCAAGCGAGTGAGATTTGCCGAATCCACCACCGAATTGGAATCTACGGATTTGGCCACAGATGCAAACGGGAACCTCGACGAAAACTCGACTTCAGCCATTAAAGGAGAAGACGTCGCGTTGTCTCCCAATCTGCCGATGCAAGATATGCTTGAAGGCTTCGATTTGGATCCTCTACCATGGGAGCCTATCCCTGGTGGGTTAGATCTCGCGTTGGATTTGACGGCCGCTGACTTGCCAGCTGCGTATGAAGAGACTGAATCCGAGTGGGCGGTGATATTGTCAGAAGCTTTTGACCGGGATAGTGCCGACGGAAACTCGGATGAGAACGAGGTAACGACGTCTTCGGGGTTGCCGGAGCTGGCTGACAACGACGAAGAGTGGTTGCGGGAGGCCATAGAGAATGCGGCAGAGTTTCACGGTGACGCACTCCCTTGACTCCATGGGGCATGAGCATTGTGACTGAAGCCTTCCATGGAGGCAACAGGATGTCTTTGAAGATGGCCATGGCGGTACCTGGAGAGTCTACCGTGTAGACGATAGGATCTTGGGTTACTTTGTACGACGACTTCAGGGCGTCCGCTTGCCGAGGATGACGACCGAGATATAGGTCGTGTTTCCCCTCAGGGGCCTGTTGTTGTGAGAGCGTCCTGCTGATCGCTTGCACGAATTTAAGCACGACTCATGGAGTGGAGTGGATGGAGACGGGTGTGTTAAGTAGAGCAGTGAATTGGTTTTCAGATGTTGGCTGAGCAGTCATAGCAGTTACTTGAGCGAGTGACGGCAATCTGCCCTGGTGTTTAGTACCGACAATCCAATACCGAATCATTCAGTCAAAGCCATAGGTTCTGACGATCTCTTTTCAGTTGTTTCTTCCCTGCTCTATCAATCTCGAAAGATAGTAGGCGGCGAGGCGGGTATGGTTAAGAACAGGTGGGCACGGTTGTATTCGAAAGTTTCCATGCGTGTAATTGCTGGTAGTCGTGAAGCTGACACTCGATACGCAGCATGCCTTCGAGGCAGCTTCAAAGTGTTTGCACCACCCATTTCTTTCTTGCTCATTTATTTGATGCACAGGCCATGGCGCCGTTGAGGAGGACTTATCTCTCTGCTGGGAGGTGGTAAATCAGTGTCTCTTGGTAGGAAAAATGGATTGTATACGCCATTCAATGTCCAAAGGAAACTTGCATCGCTTTTGCTTGAGTCAGATCACGTCGCAGGCCATGAACCCGCGACTGATGGAGCTGTGAGTCCCATGTACTTTATATCCTCCGCAGACTTTTGCATGGTTCTCTTGTAGGTAGCTGGACGGGATTGAGAGCCATAATCACCTGTCTGCGTTCACAGCTATACTAGCAGAGTCCTGTCAACAGGTCGACTGCCGACTCTGGCCAGTCACCCCTGACAAACAGAGCCTTGTTGTTCCCCAGCCGTGCACAGTGTGTCATGGAAACCAATATCTTTGTCTCACAGACACTCACAGTAGAGCTGGTGACTACCACTTCGAAAGTTGCCATCAGTGAGCTATCAGACGACTTTGTTTGCTGCTCAAGTCGCGTGGACAGCGCTGGAAGCACCGGCTAGGGGCGGAGATAGTTGAGATCTTGGTTCGTCGTTGTTCGAGGTTTAGGACTGCTGATTAGTGGGCCGTTGGAAAGCAACATGACCCATGGAACATGTGTATAAGCCGCATGACGTGGGATTTGCAGCCTCTCCTTGTTTGGTGTCATCGAAGATGAGTGCGGTCTGTTTGCATGGCCTCAGCATTTAAGTCGGTTTTTGCAACTTGACGATGCCTGTAGACTGCAGTGCGAGCATGGTCATCGAGCCAAGTATCCGGTCAAGAGGCAAGTTGTCTGACAGTCACTGCCTCAGTGCACCGTACTGAGAGTGATATCAATCCTCCTTGGCGCGTTCAAAGCTGTGACAGTCTATTCACGACTGTAGGTCAGCCGGACAGAACAAAACAAACCCAAACCCCCAAAGCGCGTCTTCGTTCTTCGACCAAAATTTTCCTTCCTCATCTTCATTCCACAGCACAATTCTCCTGGAAACCTCATTCCAGCAAAGCCTCATTCATTCCTCAATCAAGCAAAGCCTTGTTCGATCCCCATTCAATAAAAGCCTCGTTCGGTCCTCAGTCAGGCAAAGCTTTGTTCAGTCGTCAAGCAAGAAAAGCCTTGTTCGATCCTCATCCGAGAAAAGCATTGTTCAGTCCTCAGTCGACACAATGAATCAACAGTCGCTTCCCACCACCCCTGCACCGGCAGGGCAGCAAGCAAACACAAACCCTGCTCGCACACCACGAAGCCGCCCAGTGGTTCCTCGCTCTGACACACCTCAGTTGGTACCTGCAAACTTCCGATTTCCAACAGGTGCAACAAGGTTGGGCACGGGGCTCAGATCGGGTCAAAATTACCTAGTCCTCAGGGATGGTGACCGCCACCCCGTCACCAGGGTGCCTCTTATCATAGAGCGTGGCCGAAGTGATCGCCACCGAGGAGGGCATTACCCTCATCAAGACACTCCGCTTCCCGCAGGACTCACCCTCTCATCAATCATCCTCTTCTACCCGAGGCACGCCTGGGGCACAATGCTGCGCATCTTTCTTGCTGAAGGGTGGGGCGCCGATCGAATTTGGCACCTCATGCCTACCGATATGAGAAATACCAGGGGGGCAACCCGGCCTTGGAACTATATTCAAGCGGCCATGGGCCGAGAGATAGATAGAATGGCCTTCGAAGAGACAGGGGTTCGACGGGTACCCCCCAGGAGGGAAAGGAGAAATGCAGACAACGACTCCGAAGAGAACGAGCAAGATGCTCACGGCGCTCTGGGCACTGGAGCTAGTGCTGCAACATCAACGTCAGCCTCTCACCACCAGACAATACTTGCAGAATCTGATCTCACGACCAGACAATTGCAAGAGATTACAAGAATCACCCAGGCAAGAGGTCGTGAGCTTCAGCAAGCGATCCTCGCCCACCATGTGGGAGATGAGGACGCACAAGTGAGGAGGTGGAGGCAACGCCGCCAAGACTGGGGGACACAGATCAGTGACGCCTACACGAGTGACACTGGGGAGCGCATGACCACAGCCAACCCCGTCCAGATGCTCCGACTCCTCTGGCGCTGCCAGAATCGACAACTCCAGGACCAGACACTGGAGGACTATCAAGCAAGGGCCAACTGGGAAGCTTGGAACATGTTTGCGAGACAGTCCCAAGTGTTCGTGAGGGAGCTTGAGGCAGAGTTGGCGGCAGCGCAAGAGCCTGTCAGTGAAGAGTGAGAGAGCGCCGGTTGGAAGTGGGATGCGACGGTGTTCCTTGTTGTTGAGGGGGTCCGTGGAAGTCAAGATTTGTCTGCAGCGAAGTGAGATGGGATGGCGGCTCAAGGAAGACAAGGCATGCAATGAGCGCAGTGAGGTGATCTCACTGCTCGCGGCGTGAGTGAGATAGACGGGTTCGTCTTCTGCTGTGTGTTTGGTTGCGCGGTTGAATGAAGGTGAGGAAGGCCTCGCCGGGAACGGACTAGCGCAGGACGGATAATTGTTCTTGCCGAGCGCGCCCACTCCAGCCAGTGTATATTGCATTGCATACCAATAGGGAGGCACGGAAGGTTATGTACAACGGAATTCACATCCAGTTCATACTCGAGTTTCCTTGTCCTTCCATCTCACCGTCTAGTGTACTGGAGATTTTATCTTGCATTTCCATCTCCGTCGTCTCAATCCGGAATATCGATGTCGACCACCTGCATCAATCTCTGTGTCCTCCGTTGAAGTTGAAGCCACTTACTTACGCGGTACTTACTCTGTGATTGTGTTGTGGCCAACATGATGGCAGGTCATCGGTTGATATACTTGATATTGCCTCAGTTGAGTGCTCTTGTCGTACAAGCTATGTACCTCGATGAGAGCTGAAGGACCGCCGTTTGCGATCGAGCCTGACAATCTCAAGTGAGAGTAACCGTCGTCACCATCGTCCGGATGACCTCTGGCGTCGATCTACTGTTTTGTCTTCCGCTGTCAAAGTTGGTAGTAAGGTGCAAGTGAATGCGTAGAGTAAAAGTCGTTTCACTGATCATTGTCGTTGGACATCAATACTATATATATCACTCAGCGCCTGATGTTCGCACACCTAGCCATCCATTGACCCAAAGAAAAACACAAATGATCTTTACAGAGTGTAAACCTCCCCACTGTCCTCCAGAAACATGATTTGATTCGCCTCATTCATTGTCCTAAGCGCAGCAGTAATCTCCTCTTGGGAGAACTCAGTCCCGCGAGCCTCAGACACGCGATGATTAACGGCAGCACTGACATCTGCGACAGTAGCCATGTCATTCTGAAACAACGACGTCTGGGTCAGGCCGCCCAAAGCAGCACGGAAAGAGGCGAGCCGTGGCTGAGAAATGCTTGGCTCTGACTCTGCTTCCCCTCCAGACGCTGCTGCGTTCGGACCTTGGGACTGTGAGTCGGCTTGAGTCGATGGTAGCTGGGAACTGGGTATAGAGCTGGCTATGCTCATGCGGGACAATTGCGATTCTGCACCCGTCTGTCGCTGACTTCGGGAGGAACTGGCCTGCACGTCCGACTCCGCTGAATCATCGCTTCCAGCATTCGCATTGCTACTAACTCTTCCGCGTGACGTACCGTTTGTTGTGTTATTGGTGCGGGTCGAACGCTGACTCCTCGTCTGTGGCTTGGGCCCTCGAGCACCGCTGGACCTCGTCCCGCGATATGGGGTGTCGTCGTCACTATCGTTGTCCTCGCTTTCCGAGTCGCTCTCCGCTTGCGAGGTATCATCGTTGGCATCACGGGTCTTGCGTCGCTTGTTTCGCCCGTCACCTTTGACCGCAATTTCTCTGAAAAGGGCAAATTTGAGGATCTCTTCTGCCGCAATTGCATCACTCTCTTCGACCCGGCTAGATAGTCGAGCCTTCGCGTGGGCAGTCGATAATCGGATCAGTGTCTCCAATGTTCTTGCCGTCATGGGGCTAGTTCTGCGCTTGTTTGCTTGTAGTTCGTCGTTTCGAAGATTGGCATAGGCATTGACGACATAGTGGCTCGCCTCTTCCGTCAAGACCGGCTTACATCTGCTCTTTGCATATTGAATGTATTTCTTGATGAAGCCCATGCTGACAGGCTGGATCTTTTTGTTTCCTCTTGTCCTTTCACCAGCCATAAAACCGGAATGGAGCACCACATTGAACTTTTCGTAGACCAACGATGTCTGACTGGCATTCTGATCTTCTTGGACACCAACTCCAAGCATTTGATTGGATTGTTCCCGGATAGGAGCTCCTTCTTCAGTCCCTGGCTGACGATACTGGTGCATTCGAAGGACATGCTCCGAGACCTCCCGATCTCTTTTGTCATCAATATCGTCGGTGACGATAAAGAGCAGATCGAAACGAGACAAGAGGGAATCGGGAAG